CCCGTCCTGGGGACCGCGTGTGGAGGGGCGGTGCCCAATCCTTCACGGAGTGAGCGGTACTCGGCAGCTTGCAATCCCCAGGAGAGCTGCATGACTCCAGGTTATTTATTCGTTCCTGTCTGTTCTGCGCTGCCTGGGGTGGGTAAATGAGAAACCAGCTCATGGGCCAAGAAAATCACCATCAGGGAAGAGCTTCCCCCGGTCCTGCAGGGAGCAGGATTTGGAAAACCCGCAGGGAACGCGGTGCTGAGCTACCTCCCGCCCCAGGGTGGTGTTAGCAGACACAGAGCAGTGCAAGGCGGTTTTTTGCCGGGGATGGAAAGCAGACCCGCTGGGGGCCGCAGCGCCGCTGCGGGTGCTGGCGCGGTGCCTGCCGCGTGCAGGGCGCTCATGGAGGAGCTGGGGCGAAGCCGTGCCCGCAGGCAGGGGGGCCTCCCGCCCCCTCCTGCCCCTTCCAGGCGCTGCGAAATCCCTCTGGATTACAAACCGGCACCTGATGGGAAACCCGCTAGAGCTCCAGGTTCCCCGTCCCCACTCCCCGATGTTGCTAGGGGAGCACACACTTTTTTAATACCCTGAATTCACCTGGTTTCAATTTCCAACCCCTGAATGCTGTAAGACTTCAAGGGGGATGGGGCTGCATCCAACCGGGTTTGCAGAATTCCCTTGGCTGTTGGGCCCTGTCCATGGGCTCACAACACACAAGATCCAGTTTCAACCTAAATTTGGCCCCCTCCACTGATCACGTTACCACTGCCTCAGTTTCCCTTGCTGCCAAACATAAGCCCTGTTGCAGGGCAGGAAAGCTGCACCGGGGTGGTGGCACTGGGGCAGGTGAGGACCGGGTGCTGCAGAGGTGGGATGCAAAGCGGGATGAGGCATGTTTTGCTGTTTGCACAGTGAGTCAACGGGATCTGGGACTTCTCCATTTAAAGCGCGGGATGTGTGATCCTGACCTTGCCGTATCACAGGCAAAAATACAGATTAAATCCTCCTCAGCTCCCTGCCCGGGACAGGGCCGGCAGGGGAGCGCCTGTGCTCCCCAGGGTTCAGAGGGAGCCCAGCGCCTTTTCAAGGGCTGATTTTCCACCACCACTGACATGGAGAGGCACAGCACGGTCCAGCCTGGGACGTCAGCCCAGCCTTGCACCTCCAGAATGAGGCCCCAGAGCCCCCTGCCTGGCCAGGGCACCCGGCCATCTCTGGGGAGAAGGGGGATCTGCCGGCGGCGATGCTGGGGTGGGGGATCCCCCTCTGCGGGAGCGCATCCCTCCCTGTTGCATTCAATGGGGCAGGGGGAGAAGCCCATTTCCCTGCTCAGCAGCGTAGGGTATGGGAATTTAATTTGTCCAGGTCTGAACACGGGGAGGGCGGGCTGTATAAATAGAAAGGATATTTTTACGGGCTGCATTGTTCCAGGCACGGGCAGGTTGGGAGCACAATGAGCCCCTTTCCCTCTCCACTGGCATTTTCTCCGCTGCACCTTGGAAAGGCCCCAGAGAGTAAATGGTGGCTCCTGCCAAACTGAGTTTTTGCAGGCACAACGAAGTGCCTGAGAACATCACAGCAGGCGGCAGGCAGCCCTGCTCGGCTCCTGCGCAGCTGAGCCCAACCCTGCCGCCACCCTCGTGGGGTTTGGAAGCCCAGCAAGTGCTGCCCCAGCAGCGGGGTGACCGGGAGGTGCTTGCAGAGGAGCCAGGGCTGTGTCTGCTCCAGGCTCCCCAAGAACACTGGGCCCTGGGCTGCTCTCCAGTGCCAGGGAGATGGATGCCTCTATCAGCCCGTGTCCCTGCCCAGCCTCCTGCCCTTCCCAGCCGCAAGGGGAAGGAGAGGGTGCTGCTCTCCCACCATCCCCCTCCCTGCGGAGGGCTGCGGGCTAATAAAAGGCAGCAGAGAAACCCTGCCAGGAAGAGCAGATCAGCTCCCACCACACGCCGCTTGCTCCCCGCTGCACCAGACAGGGGTTTTCCCAGGATGAGGGGAGAAGACGGCCCATGGGAGGCAGAGCAAACCCATGCTGAGGTGCATTGCATGGAAACCCACAGTGACCACTGATCATGTAGGGGTGAAGCAGGAAAGATCAGAGCTAGGCAGGGACAGGCCACTGGCTGGGAGGGACACAGGACTCCCCTCTGCTGCTGGCACTGCCAGCTCCAGGGGTCCATCATCTCCCCAGCAGGAGCCGAGGATGCCAAGCTCGTATGGCACAAGGGAGACCAGCCCCTGCCCCCAAGCCCCCACCCTCCAGCTCCTTCTGCTGAGCACTGCTTGGGCCCCCAGGGGCAGCCCTGCTTCCCCACAGCACCCTCTGCCCCAGCACCCCAGAGCACTCTCCACATGCAGCCCCAGCCCCTCTCTCCTCCTGGGCTAGCCAGAACACTGGAGCAGGGATACGGCTTCCAGGCTCCTGAGCACACGCTACAGCCTGGGCACAAAGATCAGTGCAGAGAACCTTCCCATCAGCAACACGGAGTAAAGGAAAACCCGCACGCTCATGATGCCATTCCTTCTGCTGCACCCAGCTGCAGCGTGCCCTGGCTCTCCCCCGCAAAGGCACCCTCTCCAAAAGAACAAGAGCTGAAAAACACCCCACCACAGGGGCCACCCGGCCCCAGACAAGCACCATCCCACCCCGCCTGCCAGAGGTCAGCCCGGCTCTGCCCCTCGCTCCTGCTGCCTCAGGCCACTTCCCATTTCCCTGAAGCCATGGCCTCCATTTCCAGGGATGCGTGCAGGGACCCCAAATACACAGGCAAGGCCACATTCCTGATGTTCCCGCTAACTCACAAATGCAGCCCATGAATCCCAGAAGGGATCTTTACCCGGCATCTGCAGCCACACCTTGGGATGAGGGCACGCTCCTGGGCTTGCTGGGCAGGCTGCACATGGACAGGGCTCCAGCAGGGACCAAGCAGCTTATTAACACGGAATAAAACCCTTCAGGCTGTTATTGCTGGGGTTGGGAACAGGAACTGGGCAGCTCTGTGCCCAAAGAGCTTGGGCTGCCAATATTTAAGCGCATTACTCAAGGCAGCTTCCCCTGGGGGTGCACAAACCAACCCAGGCAAGCACACTGCCACGCAGGGAGCAAAGGAGGGATCTGGGCACCAGGCGAGCTGACGGAGCACCCCAAGCCCCAGCATTAAGGTGAGCTCATGAGCGAGCAGCAGGATCGCTGGCCAGCAGGACAGCCTCGTCAGCTCTCCATGCCCCTAACCGGGGCTCCAGAACACCCCACCCATGCTGTGATGCTGTAGGACCAACTCCTCCGCCCACAGAGGGTCTGGCTGCGTGACCACACCGACCGACCAAAGCCACCATGACAACACAAGCAAGCAACAGTGACGGCTACGCAGAACGTCAGCAGCTGTGGAAAGCGTTATCCCTTCCAGAAGCTGGCCATGGCCAGGTGCTTCATTTCAGATCCCTGGCATCGTTACGAACCCCCAAACTCGCAGCTCACCCCTGATGGAGACACAACTGCTGGGTCAATCCCAACACACGCGGCCCTTGCCGTGGCCTCAACGTCCTCTGCGCAGCCCTGCTCGAAGGAGAAAGGCTCAGGCGCCTCGCTACGGAGGCAGCACCTGCTGTTTGGGGGCTGCAGAAACAACACGGCACCAGGCACACCATCTACCCCCCAGCCTAGGGACCTAGGGGACCTCATGGCCCAGGGCCCGAGGTGAAAGAACACACGGACACCAACACTCAGTTAAGTTGTAGGAATTTATTTTAAATAACCTACAGTTGATTAAAAGGGAATTCATGATAAAAATAGAAGATACTTGTTGAGGAAAGGCTGCAGGAAATGGTCTTCGCACACACACTACGCTAACAATGCCTCTAAAACTAATGATTATAGCAAAAAAAGGTTTCACATTAAAATTCTGCTTTTTAATTTTTTAAAATTTTTTTACACAATTACAAAAGAAAAAATAAAAGCCCTAAAATCTTGATTATTTTCCTTTTTGGACCGATGCTCATCTCCCTCGAAATTTATTGACCTGTGAAACTTCTTTTTACACAATAAAATCTTTCAAGTAAAAGAGGGGAGTGGGGCTTAGAAAAAAAGGGGGGGAAAAAGGTAAAATAGTCTGACAAACCTAAAAAGTAGATATTCTTGAAGTGTACAGAGCGTGTTCAGAACAAAGGGTGATAGGAATGTCACTGGTTGCCAATTCCACTTGTCCTCAAATTCCACACGCGTGTCCCCACCACATGGCCCCCTCCCCCCACCCGCTCCCCAAATCTACACGATCTTTAAGATCAAGAAGAAAAAAAAAAACCTGTTTAAATATTTTAAAATAATTAAAAGAAATAAAAATTCACATTTAAAAAAGGAACACTCAAGTCAGGAGGCCGATTTCCCATCACGCTTTGCTCTGAACAAATGTGGTAGATATTTGTAATTCATGTTCCAATGCCACGACTGTTTCAAGTGACAAATTAAAAAAGATTTGGGTATTTCCATGACTATAGTGACAGCTGTAACAGGTGCGTTGGGTTTCTTAAATTTTGTTTATTTGTTAAATTCTGAAATGGGGCAGGAGGGGGAGGGGAAGGGCAGGGGTTAAGGAGTCCATTTTCTATTAAAATATAGAAGTTATTGCAAAACCCTAACTGTAAAAACGCACCAATATAATTGGATTTTGTATACAGTAGCTAAAGATTCCCACGCTCTCAGTGTGATGGTGAATTTGCCTGGCGGAAGGTTGACAAATCCCCCATCCACTTGCCCTGCCTCAAGAGAAAAACCACACAAACCAGACAGCTAGAATTTGGATCTCTGAAACATTTTTAAATAAGTTGTCCATAGGACAACTGGCTCAGCTCCTTTAGGATATTTCCAGGTTATGCTCTCTGCAAGATGTTGGCTGTTTTATCTGATGCTCACTTGCCCCTTTCCTCCCCCTTCCCCAGCATCCAAGGACAAGTAAGGCTCACAGTTTATCAATCTCCCTAAAAACCAGGCTACTCCCCTTTTTTTTTTTCCCATAAAATTCAGCTCATTAAAAACAGGTTAAAACTCATAGTCTTCCTCTGCCATGTCAATAGCCCAGGCAAATTTCTCTCGTTGGGTTTTGTTATAAATCTTCTCTATAGGAATTCCCCACTTCTTACACCTGCAGAAGAGGAGACACTGTTAGAGCCAACGCAAGCACAGTTACTCAACCCCTCGCTGTGCAGAAGAACTGCCCTGCTCTCCCCCGGCACCTTCCTAGCTCTGCTCCATTACAAGACACGCTACCCAGCTGAGCACAACCAGCCTCCTGGTGTTAGAGCCTGCAGGTTCTCCAACCCACCACCTCCCAGCGCGGTGCTGGCTCTGGCTGGCACATTACACTTGCCTCAACAGACTCTTTTTTAACTTCCTGAAACCATTGGAAGATACAAGGGAAGGCCACAGAGACAGAAGTCTCTGGCAGCACAGGGGCACTGCTCTCAGCCACAGCCCTTGCCTGCTAACTGGGGGGACAAGAACCAAGCGTGGGGCTGGTTTCTTCCAGCACACCCCAGGCAGACACTTACCAAGCAACAGAGATCCTGGGATCCAGATAGTTGAGTTTGGAGGTGCCCAAAGCGATCTGCTTGTTCTCCTCCCTATCTGTAGCCTGAACCTCCAGCTTCATCAGTTGCTCCTCAATCCTCTGCACTGCTTTCTTCTTGCTCTCCACTGTCCTGGGGTGGGAAAGAATCAAAGCATTTAATGTCTAATAGCCTGCTGGGCTTGAGATGGCAGCACTGTGGGAACCCAAAGGGACTCTGCTCAAGGTAAGCAATGCCACCAGCCACAAAGGGCAGCTGTGTCAGCGCAGACAGTCCACAAAACACTCAGCACATGCAATTAAAGAACTGACATTTTCAAAGAGGCAGAGCAGAAATCTTAAGTAGCAGTTTTGTTTTAAAGGGTTGGAAGCAACAGCCTGAACTGTACTGATGCTACACCCGCTTTAAAACCAGCCCATCTATCCGTCTGTAATAGTCATGCTGTGATTCTGCTTTCAGACATCCCCTAACCCAGCACCCCGTGGCTATTCTGCAGAGCCCACACAGAGTCAGAGTACATCATCTGCACCACGGGCTTCCAACAGAGCAGAGCAGAACCCAGAAAAGTGCGTGTGCAATTGTGTAACTCCTGGCTCCCCATTACGAAGGCAATGCTGCACACTGGACCCCATTGCTCTGCTTGGTCCCAGGCAGCAGGGTGGTTGAGTACCGGTCAGTGCTCGGCTCAGAGGGATGACACAGACCAGACCAGTGCTAGTGACCACATCAGGAACTGCAGTGTCAGACCCCCTATAGTCCTCAGCTTGAAGGTAATTTCTTCATGCACAGAATAAAGAGGGAACAAGAAAGCCTGAGGAAGTCTTCCCAGATCACAGGCTGGGGAAACAGAACACAGGGTGAAGGACCCATCTGGAGCTGAGAGTACTGGGAGCGTTGCACAGCCTGGTAACACCAGCCTTACTTTTTAGACTTCTCATCCCTCCGGACCTTGGCATCAGCTTTGGCGCTTTTCAGTTCTCTCCTGGCATCAGCTAACTGCTCCTTCTTGGCATCGATCTAGGAGAGGCAAAACCAGACGGCAGCACTGTGAACAAGCTGCTGACAACTGTGGCAGTCACCCCTGGGCAGCACGACCCAGGGAGTGAGTTTGTGACCACGTTCAGAATCTACCAGTGCTCAGACCCACTTCTGCAGAACAATCAGGCCACTGGCCTTTCAGTTCGCTGCAAAGCCTAGTGTGGTGAAATATTCCCCTCAGAAAATAGGGCCCCCCTTATTTCCAAAGACAAGGTGGCGCTGGGAGCTTTCTCACACAGCTACAACCAAGCAGGTGCCCCAAATCCTACAGGCTGAAAGCTGTTAAGGCTTCAGGCAGTTCTTCTCCAGTAAGTTTAGGATTTAGGGAGACTCAGCATTTTGCAGCCCCTATTCAACCATTCCCCTTAAACATCCCCCAAGCTCTAAGATCTAGGGTGAAGGCAGCCATGTTAGGTGTTACAGAAGCAGGGGACACTGCAGTGCCAAACCAGAAGTCCTTATTGTGAAGGTTATTCTAAAGGCAGACCAGGAACAGACCTAACCCCTTTGGACCTCATGGCCTTCACCAGAAACAATCTGCAAAGGAAGAGGTCAAGTCAGAGGGGCATCATGTACCATGTACACAGCCTGCACTGACACTGGCCTGTCATGCAACAGGAGTGGACACCCACTCTGGGTTCTTTAGGAGACACAAATCAGATCTAGAGACTGCTGCTCTGAAGTGTCAATGGCAGCAGAACACATAGCTATGGGATGAAGGACAGATAAAAAGGGTCTGGTCTTGGCCTTTACAAGTAAAAGACGACTCAGACAGAAAGGTGTCCCTTTCAAGCTTACTACTCCTCTCCAAGCAGGCCCATCTCTGAGGCAGCATTAACCAACTCCTGACAGGAAAAAGCAGGCTCTGCTTCCGTTCCACCCCAAATGAAAGCAAACTTGAGTTCCGAGATGCAGCACTTGGAGCCCTGCCCCAACCCAAGAGCTGGGCAAGGGTGGGGGTACCTTGCTCTGCAGGTTCATCATGGACTTCTCGAAGGTCTTCGGCGGAGCCCTCTGGTGGTTACACAAAATGGCAACCGCTCTGTTGGCACGGTTATAGGAAAGGATCTTCGCTGGGATGTTGTCATCCGCTGCAAAGTACAAGAAGGTGGTGAACAAGTGGGTTCTCCAGGACTGTGCAGCCCCAGCCAGTGTCCCACCAACTCTGCAAGCTCGCAGTCACTGCAGAACTGACCTTCCCCTCTGACGGGCCAGTCTCAATGCTGCACTCTTTATTACAGTCATAAGAGCCTGACCACTTCCATCCCGGGCCCTAACTCTTTCTGGGATGGTTTCTTTGACAGCAACAAAGACTTCATTTGCCACTCAGGAGAGGGGAAGCACATCCATGCTCATGGCAGAGGACAGCAGGACCATACTGCTCAAGACACTATTGGGATTCACAGATCCAACGTGCCCACTTTGTAAAGTGCAAGCTAGCAGTGCTTGACAACAGAGGTTGTGAATGAGCAGCCAAGAAACATGGGGCTGTTACAGATGCAACTGCCTGCCTGCCACCTATAGAACTTTATTTACAATTAACAGAAAGCAAGTAAGATATTTAGTGAAGGACAAGCATAGGACAAGCATAAACTAGCAGGCACACCTTGGTGTGCTCACCAGCCAGCGCTGCCCTGACCCAGTCCTGAGCTGCTCAACTACCCCAAAAGATTGTCTGGCAGCAGATTTTTGGTCACACCTCAGCTGTCTAACATGTGCACTGGGAGAACTGCAATGAGGACCTGGTGTACAAATAAAAGACTCATGGCTAAGCCAAGGAAGCCAGGTCTGTATTGCAGGATAAGATCTGTTCCCCTCACAGTTTCAAGGACCAGACTTACGATTAGTGAGCTCCTTGAGCTGCTGCTGTAGCGTGATGGAGGCATTGTAAGTACGGAATACCTTGGCTGTCAGTCCCTCCATAAGGTCTTGAAGGTGTTTATTTAAGATACTGGTCTAAAGAAGCAGAAAGGAGATGAAAGTTAGCACTAGAATCGACCACAGCATTTGTGAAATCACTGGACATATGGCTGACTAAGACATGCAGTTCACAGCTGAAGCCTAGTGTACTCAGACCTGACCACAACAGAATGGCCACATTACTGAAACCACAGGAAATGTGAACAAAGAACCAACAAGTATTAGATTGGTATCGAGTACCACAAGTGGCCAAAAAAGTCTTCTTCAGTGCAGAGGTTTTGGTTCCCAACAGGTAGCAGTGTGCCTGTCACACCCCAGGGAAGGTGCCTGAACCACCACAGTGCTCCCCCATAGAGCCAAATGTGCAGATGGGGATGGCATCTGAAAATTTGTCACCTCACACAATTATCTTCTCTGTACTCTGAAAAAACCTCCCCAAGTCAGAGCCAGACAGGCTCACCAGGACCAAAGCCCATTGTCTCAGGAACCTGTGGGCAATACAGACACCAGACTGAGACAGACTCACACTGCTTTTAGGCCGCTCAGGCCAGCTCTGGAAGAAAATTGCCACTGAAACCATTTCTGGAACAGAGACGCTGTTATTGCCTAGTGCAGAGTGAGCCTGTTCATGGTGCTCTACCACCATCCCTCACCATCAACTACGTGCTTACATTGAGGCGGTCAAAGAGGTCATCCTCAGGCTGCTTGTTCTCCATGAACAGCTGAAGATTCTTAAACACCTGCAGGGAAAGAAAACTGGTAATTTCAGGCACACAGACAAGACAATGCTCGGTAGCAGTAATACATAAGGAAGCAAGACTGCCAGGGAGCCACTTAAACCGTTTTCAGGCAACAGTGACGATGTTGGATGTTACTTCCCCACAAGGCAAAGACGCATCTCTCAATACACTTGTGTTGAAGGTTCCTCCCCAGCAAGAGGAGTCCTGAGCATTCAATGCCCTCTATCTCATCCTTTAGATCCAAGATTGCAGGAGACCTGATCCTGCTCTGGCTTAGCTGCCTAACAGAGGAGACCCCAAAGCTACCACCTTTCCTTTATTTCATTACTCCAGCCAAAGAGACCCCTGAGCCATTTCCCATGGAGGGAAGTTAACAAAACCCAACCCTTCTCATTTCTGCATTAATATTTCACACAGTTCCGCCCAAAACAGGTCTCACTGGAGTAGGGAGAATGATCAAAGCATCTTTGATTATAGAGAGTTCACAAATCCCAGCTCTGTGTGCTCCAAATCCGAATCTCAACACCACACATTCTTATTCTATAGACACCTAATATACAAAGATTTCTGGTTCCACAACAATCAATTCTCCATTGTAAACACTGAAGACACACCAAGAGATACCAATACCAAGAAATTTAAACAGGAAAAATGTTTTCTTCTTTAAACAAGAAAAGTAAGAATTTCAGCACATGCTCATTTCTATAGCAGCTATAGTTTGTTTTTTTCTTTTCAGTTGTTTTGCTCCCCAAGAGGCCAATATTTACTGCTGACTGTCTTTCCAATTACCACAGTATTATACACACGGTGTCTAAAATACTTTGCTGACTGCAGAGCTGTGGGCCAGATGCAAAGCTTTTTGAATAGCGCCCTCCAGGTTCACGCTGCTGGATGGGGATCTATTCTGGAATGAAGTCAAAATCACAGCTGACTTGAAAATGGTGGATGACAAAGAAATAAAAGAATTAACATTGCCTAGGAAAGAAGTCTTGGTTGGTAGACACCCAGGTTCATAGGCCAGAAGTATCAGCGCACTTACTCTGTATGCTCTGGAGCACCCAAGATCAAGACCTACCTCAGTGAGGACTCAGCTCCAACATGAACAAAACCACGGTGACCAAGAAGCTGGTATCATGAAAGCCCAAGTCAAACTGCTACTCCCACAGTGCCATCCAGTGCTGTATTTCAGAACTTTTAATGCTATTATTTGTCATATGAGCCTAGAACTCTAGCATCTACAGGTGACAAAACCAACTCTGCTGACCAGAATGAGACCTGAGAAACTCATCTAACGTGGCTGTTACAGTTATGTTATGCCAACTCTTGACACTGAGACCACAGGGAAGAGCAATAAGATGTTTAAGTATCTCATCTGCTGGGTTATGTCACACCACACGCCTTATCTTCCATGGCACTGCTAATAAAATGGAAGAACATCAACTGACTGATTTTCTGGCTAGGCACCTGACTAGTGACGAAGCATCCTGTTACTGCCATCGAACTATATTGACCAGATTTTTCTGCAATTCAGTCTATGTATGTGTTTGTGGAGATGCCTTACCCTCTTCTCAACAGGGACTTTGTTGTAGTATCGGATGGAGTCTTTTCCGAGGAAGTCGAACTCAACCACGTATTCCTGGCCATCCAGTTCAGGATGCAGCTTGATATGTTCTACTCTCAGAGAGCAGCAGCCCACAGTGTCAGCTGTCTCTCCTTCTTCTTTTTCATTACCAGCTCTCAGGGCAAGCTACATTTATATCAAGACAAGAGAGGTAAGCATTTCAAACCATCCCAGTAATGTATAGATGCTGAAAAATTTCAGACACTGGCCTGGAATCAGCAGTGTCAATAGGAGAAGAGAAAGTGAGAAAATGCCTTTGGACAAAATTGACACTTACATAATTCTAATAAAAACAACCTTAAGTTCTCTTTAAATCTGTTTTAAATTACTCTACACTAAAGCCACAAATCTACTGGTCTATCAATATACCTTATTATTTTTTTTTACAAGAAGTTTAAAGCAAGATGTTTCAGCAACTTTCACTCATTAAGTAACTCAAACTGTAAGACAGTTCCGACTAATGGAAATCCATTTCAAAACGTGGTATTTTTTTTAAAAAATCAAACTGACTTCCACATGAACTCAACCTGCTACAAAATCATAAAGTTAGTTGTTCATCTTCTATGATCCTAGCTCTTCACTGCACGCTAAATGGTAGCATATAGGACATAAATAATCTAAAGGCCACATTTGGCTGCATAAAAAAATGCGGTTTGACAGTACTGGCTAAACCAATTTCTAATTTTTGAAGAAAAACCTTCAGTGTTCTTATGAAACCATAATCATTCAAATCAATATTCCTTGGTTTATGCCAAACTATTTTGAACAAAACCTGCTAATGTAGGTGATCAAGACACCATACACTACCAGGGCAACAGCTCTCTGGGAACTGGCTTTAAAAATGCATCAATACAACTGCAGTTTTCTTCACGCTGTGGTGAAAAAATTAGCATACTTATGTAACTTCACAACTGTGACCTCGAACTAAAGAGGTGACAGACCAGCAGAAATTCCCAGCAGGAAAACTGAAACAGCTGGAGACAAAAGGCCCACATAAACTTCCCAGTAATCCAACTGGGCGATTCTGGAACCAGGCTGTGAATTTTGCATGAACTAAAACAATGCTGCCTGAAATAGCCATGCTCAGTACAATAGTTTATTGCTCTGGATTCCAGGTAATGGGAAGGAAAAGCAGACAGGAGCCTGCCCACCAGGAAGTCTCAGGATACCTTAGTAACTGGGCTCCGTTCTGCCTTAGGAACAGACACACAGCGTTCCTGAGTATTCCCAGCAGGACAGGAAAGGTAAGAGGAATGTGCTGGGTAACGAGCTTACTTTGTCAATGAAGTACAGCGCCACAGCCCTCTGCCGTACTTTCATCTCTTTGGATTTCCAGTCTTCTCGATATTGATTTCGGATTTTATCTACGCACTTCTTCAACCTCCGAGCTGTCTCATACTTCTGCCAGTCCTTCTCACCCTGCAGAGAAAGTTGGAACAGAGTCAGCATCAGAAAACAGGCAAAGGACCAGTTTCAATTTGCATCTCAAGGCTTTGCAAGTCTGTGTGTGGCAAATGGTCTCACTGCACAAAAGCACTGAGATTTTGCTGCTGAACAGCTCAGCTTCAAACTATGCTGCCACACAGCTGTAGGTAATTCAGATTTCCACAATATTAAATGCTCCCATAGAAGCAACTGTAAAGACACAAAAGATACTATGTCTTCCATGCTTCTCAACATATAAATGGTTTCCTCTGCTTTATTCAGACGACACTTATGTTCTTTCAGCTGTGTAATTAAACACCCATAAAATGTAAAAGCAACATCAACAGTTCATCATCATTATTATATATTCAAGCCATGGCAAAAAGAGGGCATGAATTCATAAGGAAGAGAGATTTTTCCCTATACTTGTAGGACAAACCCCTTGTTTCCAATACAGGAAAAAAGAAATCTCTTTAAAGAAGGCTTAATGAGAAGAACTTGAATCCTACTCCCAAAACTGAAGGCTATTTACTTTTCAACAGGTTTATCATTGCTTTTATGGAACTGATTCACTGACTGGCTATTTGGTCCCACAGCAGGGTTTGTTTTCCGTCAGTCATGAGCTCCTTACCAGCCTTCTCAGCCAGTAGCCTAGCCACACTTTTGTAATTGACTAATTAGCAACCCACGGTTAGAACTTCACTACACTATCAGACAGGGGAAGTTAGGGCCAAAACTAGATAAAATATCAACCAGAGCAAGTCTGTTCTTGGATAAATTGCTTCCTTTTAGATTTACACAGAGTAAAGGACTCCTACTAGGAATGACACAACGATGCTTTTCAATAGAAGTTTTCCAGATTTCATCTGCTCTCTTGTGCAGCAATTGTATTCTTTTTTTTCAAGTGGAACAGAAGCACAGGAACTTTCCTATGTTTTTCAATAAGTATAGGATGAAATAGCAAGACAGCTCTATTTCCTATCTCTCTCCTAGCCCACGGCTACGTTTGTTTCTTGGAGACATGACCAGCAAAAAACCTTTTTTTTTTTTTTTAAACTAGATCTTTACCTTAATTCTTGAGCTAGGGTTCAGCATGATGTATTTGATAGAGCCTTGGATGTTCTCGGTCCATGACACCAGCCAGGTAACCTTGTTGTCATGCCGGACCTCCTTCCATTTGTGTCCTGGTGGAGGGGAAGGAATCTTGGAATCCCTGCAGAGAATTACAAAACAGCAAATAAAACCGATTTAAAGACACTTTCACAGCATGAAAATAGAGAAAGTAATGAATACCATCACACAAAGAAGCACAGGGAAAGAAGCTGAGGCAACACAACTACATATTTCCACAAGCAGGAAATCAAGTGAATCAAAGTGAACAGCCAAAGATCAGAAATGTAACTGCTATCAATAAGTATCTGCTGAAGAATTATACTATAGGTGGGAACACACATTGCTAGGACCATCTTTGATTTGGGGACACTGCAATAGTGCAGACACTTAGCAGGACGAGACTGAAGAGAAGCCCACCAAAACTTAGCCTTCGACATCAAGGCAGACGAAATAGGGCAACCCACCTAGAATAAAATTAATTTTTGGCAATACTAGCAGGAAAGACTGTTTAAGCAGATGTAGGCTGTAGGCATGAGGAAGAAAATATACTGACAGAGTTCTACATGAAACGCGTGATAGCCTTGCTCAGTCTTTGCTCGCATGACTCAGTGTCTTATCCATATGAGATAAGCAGCATGCATATTTCTACATGCTTGAATATCAACCTATACAGGATTTTAAAAAAGAAGCTATCCTTTCTAGAAAGCAAAGCCAACGTGTGAAGCATCCAGTGCTCACTTGCTGCAGTTAATGATGATGTCTTCTGGCATGATGCGCCTCTTCAACATGCCCATTTTGGGATGGTTTCCACGACCTCGGAAGAGACCTGGGGGTTCAATCTTAAAGTTGGCAATCCTCTCCTTGTGGTTGTCCATCACACAGTAACCATATTCCTTCAATAGCCGCTCATTCTCCTCTTTGATTTTCTGTAAAACGTCAAAAGCAAAGACGGTATGATATACCCAGCACCGCACACATCTCTAAATGCCAAGACTTAAAAAATTTTGACATTTGCACCACACTAATGCTGAAGACCCAACTCAAAACCAGATCCCCATCATGCCAAGTGCTGTATCAATACACAGAGCAGCAGACTATCCAGAAAAGCATTCATAAAATGCAAGCAGCACAAACCAGAAAACGTGAAGGAATCTCTTAAAACTTGTACTTGAGGGACACAGATTAGGACTGGTGAAGACAGCTACAATTTTGCCACAATAGAGGCATTTACCTCTATCTACATACCACAGCTACAAGGGCAGCCCCAGCAGCACAGTACTGCTGCTTTGTAGTCTATTGAGCATTTGACACCCACCAGACTTTATATCTTGTTGTTTATGTATAAAACCCTCAGACTTCTGTGTTTGAACTCAGCATCGGAAAGCAGGCAGAGGAATGTCTCCAGTCTGCCGCATGTCAAGCCTGTGTCAGCAAATGGTCTTAGAAGTAGAACATAGTCTCCTAAGTAAAAATGTGCTGAGATTTCACTGCATACTTCTGTGCTTAAACTCTTAATTATATGGAAGGAAAAATAAAAACACTGCAGCCCAAAATAAAACATCTGACCCATAGACAGCACTGGTGCACCAGCTAAGAAACTAACAGAAAAAGCCAGTTCTGCTCCATTGTAACAGCTACCACAGAAGGAAACTGAGAAGGGCTGACCCACGCGTTTATCAAATGGAAACAGCAATAAGACACGGGCTCTCTGTTTTGGTGGGACCCCTCTGACCCCAAAGACCATACTTCCAAGCTGCCAGGCCCCTCACTCAAAGGACAATTACTGTAGCGTTGCAAAAGATCAAGTGAGAACTTGGGGCAAGTTTCCAACTTCCATTGCACTAAGTCTCGGTCATCTAAAAACTATTTAATTCTCTCCCCACAAGCCACTGTAGCCATGCTACTGGAAAATAAAGTTTGATTTTTTATTCAGAAAACTGCATTACCTGATATTTAAGATTTCTTCTCTCACTTTATTCACTAATGTCATTGCTGCATCCTTTCTACCATCCCCAATTTTGCCCTCCAAACCCAAGGAGCTTCTAAAATGAAAAGCTATCCTTAACTGAATATCCAGTGTTTATTACTGGTCAGGGACCAAGGCTCCCATGGAGGTAGCACCTCTGATTCTCTTTACTTACTTAAGCAGGATCAGGAGCCTTAGCCCTATTGATATCATTTTAAGTCAGGATGAAGATTCAGCTGTAAACACAGTGCTCTACCCTACCTGAGCTGCGTAGTAGAGAGTCCTACAGTTAACATGAAAGTAATAACTTGAAAGGTAGTAAACACTGGCTTACCACAAGGTAGGCAGAGCAATGATTACACAAAGATGTTTACAAGCCAGCTAAGAATCAAGAAGTCTCTTAGAATTCCCCCTGGTACCTGTTTCTCCTCCTTGGACATCTGTTTCCTAGCTTCCGACTGAGCTTTGAAATACTGGCTCATGTGGGTGAAGTCACACTTGCTGAGGTTGGTGATAGTGCTCTTCTCTTCAGAGGTCATTTCCTTGCAGAAAGAAAGTAGTGCCTTAAGTTTTCATACACAGTAAGTTTTCACGCACAGTAGAGCTTACCCTATCCCAGGCAGTTAACAGGAACACTAGACAGGCTCTCACAATAAACTCCCAAGAACTCCCAAATTCTTGCACATGCTCACTCCAGCTAAGGTCAAAGAGAAAAGGACAAGAAGCCGAGCACGTGGAGGGCTGGCCTTCCAGCAGTCTGATCCCTGCGAGCACTGGCAGTGCTGTACCACCACCCCAAGCGCTCTCACACTGAACAGTGGCTGGGACTGTTGAGGGATAGGGAGAAAAACCCAGTAACCCATTTAGGAAAACTGCATCAACTGATCTAAAGGTTTAATCTTACGGATGATAAGTTGACTGAGGCAAAGTTCTGAGTTTTAGGTCTTTGGAAGGGGTTTCTTTCCAATATAAAGCTGACTCTTCAACAAGGCACGTAACAGCCAGATCAGCCATACCTCGTCATGCTATACAGGCAAATTTGTTTGGGAGAAGTCTGACTTTTTTGCTTTAGAAAGGTATTTATGATAGGAACCTTCCTGGTGAAACTACAGGATAAACTGGAAACTTTACAGCTACAATCTGAGGCAGCTTTCAGGTGCCTCAAGCTAACTTTCCTGTGCATGGAACAGCAGCCCCTTTTCACTGTCCAGTGCCGAGGAGACACTGGCCATGCGTGCAGTCATTGCGTACCTTTCTCCAGTCTTTGAAAAAGTTTTTCCTGAAGATCTCCTTTGTAGTGTACTCATGATCAAGCATTTTTGCAAAGAATGTGGCAACTTCTTCTGCTTTGGTGCTCAGCTTCATGACTTTACCTACAAAGAAAGGTTTTCTTTTTAAACAAAATGGTAAACAGGAATTGAAACCAGAAAGAGGCCATAGTAACTACCTTAAAGGACACTGTATTTTTACCACAGAGGTTTTTCTTAAAAATGTTACATAGTACAGCAAATTGGATGGACAAAGGAAACAAGAGGGGCACAATTGCTTGACTTCTATCATAAACATTTTGAAAAAAGTTTCCTCTGAAATCTAAACATTAAAAAAAGCAATAGCAATCTGATGAGAAACGTCTGAGAGACACAGTGCAGGAAGGGGAAAAGGCCTCCTGCAGGAAACCCTATGCTGAGACATCCCAGTGGTGCGTACGCTCCTGGGGAGATACTGCTGTTTGAAGTGAAAGAGGCAAGGGATTTTATTAAATTTCATATTCCAGCACTCAGAGATATGGGAAATACAACCTCTGTATTCTTGTTCTATCCAGAGAGGGACTCTGCTGTGGAACACCCCTTGTAGCCTCTAGCTATTTCTAGCCAGGAAGAGCCCTTCCTATGTACACACCACAAATAGGCTGGAAAGCAATGTCAAATATTTAACTACCCTTCACTGCAGGGAAACGTGTCAGAATCCTGCTAATTGTTGCCTTTGCTGTGGGAATGCACTCCTGTGTCTCCAAATCAGGCTCAAAAGCTAGTAATATTTAAGAAAGACTGAGCTTTCAGTGAATGGGGAGGTCACATTTCAGCTTATCTGCAAGACTGCAGTACAAAGTGAAATTGCTGCAAGGGAAGATTTTAAAACACAAGGGAAAAGAGGCTGCTGCAACATCGAAGCTGTGGATTCGACATCTAACATTCCTATTGAGCATCTTTTTGGTCCAGATTGCATTCCTGATGACACTTGAGGTGCCAGTGATCTCTGTGAAGGACTTTGCATGCAGCTCACATCTCCAGCCAGTTGCAAGAAATATTTAAAGTCCCAATGGGCTGGCAGACAGTCAACACCTGTGGATTTTTTAACAACCATTTTACTGCACAAAAGTCAATACAAGAAACACTACTGTTGATTCTATCCTCTTGGAAAAAAAAATACCACACTTTCGATTTACTACATTTTAAGAAGTTGCATCATCTCTAAAATTAAAGCATAGATGTCAGCTATAAAGCTTTAAGATCTACAAACCCTTGTAAAAAAGGACTTAGCAAAAGGTCCTCCCAATGATCTGAGAATATTCCACAATTAAATTAAACCAACAGTAACTCTGCCAATTTTTAAGCTGCAACCTAAAATACAGCATTTGTTTGCTTATAACAGGAAATGGGGGAAGGGAGAGACAGCAAGGGAAACGGTTTTTCCAGGCTTTGAGTCTAGCTGGAAAGAGGCTATCAAGTTAGTAACATGTTATGCAGCTCAAATGACTGATATTTTTCCCAAATTGCTGAACGCTCAGTCACCTTTATCTAATCACTTTAGAATCTATTTCATTAGACTCAATTTCCTCTTTTTTACAAAGATTTGAAAAGGCTTTTGGTGACAGGGCTGGAAAAGAAAAAAAAAAGGTTTATTCCAGAGCTGTGAATATTTATTACCTGACTTAAAAACTGAAAACCAGAGAGGAACCAGAGGCCATAACAAGCAGAAGAGACTGAAACACAGTCGCCGCCATCTACTCTCCTACTTCATCTCTGGGGTATGAGCAGTAGCTTGTTAACCCACAGTCACTCAAACATATAGTCAAGCCTTAAAAGAAAGTGTTGGCATTTCAAGCTCCTTCACTGAGTCTAATATTGTAAGCACTAACAATAGGTCCAGCAGTCATTACGCTAGATGAAAACAGGCAGTCTCACCGCAACGCAATCACTAGGCAAGGGACAGATTCCTCCAGTGAGAGCCTGCAGCCTGGCAGCTGGCTGGCCAGCCGTAGCATGATTACTGGACTCTACAAATCATCCTAGGATAATCTTGGAATTAGACAATGCCTTGTGAGCACAGAAAGTGGCTCTCGGCAGCTGCTGTGTAAATCAGACATCTGATTTTTTTGCCTAGTTTCTCAAGGAAGACTTACATGATTGCTTTATTTGCCAGACCCCCCTGCCCACCCTTTAATTGTTGACCTATTGATGAATTTCTGCCATGACAGAGACAGAGGTTGCAAAAATCTCTGCACTTCCTAGAGGTTTCTATCTAGCCATCTATTTCATGAAGAGAGGCTTATTGCTGCCTGCAATTTGCCCCTCCTCCTCTAGACAGCAGGAGAGAGCTCATACATTCTTCAATAGAGGGGAAAAAAAATCCAACTTTGCAACAAGGTCTTATCAAACCTTAAGAAAGAAGTCTGTAGACGTGCCTGATCACTGTGCTACTTGCTTGGTGACAGCCTTTAATAGGATGCAATATGTTTATTTCACTACATTGTTGCTGAAAATGAATGCCGCCTATTTCTCAGTATTTAGAAATACTGTGTCATGTCACATGAAAACAACACGTTGCTCCTGGAAGAGTTCCATGCACAGATGTCCCCTTCACCAAAAATTACATTTTCATCTATTCAAATGCCTCCCACTTCATTCAGTCCTGGGTTAATTTGACCCTTCATTTAACATGATCACAGGACTAAAAGGAAACACACGGGTCATCAAGTCTGGTCTCCAGCAGGCATCACATAATCCCTTCCACATAAGCCTGTAACAACCAGTCAGCCCAGCATATTTGAATCCCACATCAATTAGTTGTACCACACACAATGATTAGTGAGTGGGACCATGACTTACACCACAAGGCTGTGTCCTTGAGGCCAGGGTCATCCCACGCATTCCTACAAGATCCTAATAATCTGTATCGGAATCCAATTGTCTCTTATTCCACTCATGCCACAAAGTGATCATGAATTTCATCACAGATGATTGAAGTTGCAATTCGTAAGGTTAAATAAAACAGAGCAAGCCTAAAGGTGACCAGTGACGAAGTAGTGACAATTACATACTCTACTGGTTATATACACTGCTACTCTCAGGCATAAGACACTCTCATACTGTTAAGTAACCGGAGCGATTTACCGCCATAACAGAGTGAGAACCAGTTCATCTCTGTGTCAACTCAGTTAGCAGAATTCAGCAGGCTGCTCCTTTACTTCTACAGATCGCTCCTTCACTTAGCCGTTGAGGAACTTCTTTTAAGCTAACCACTAAACCAAAACCACCTCCTCATCTCTTCAGTCCCCAGAAAAACATCATAATACCATGAGAATGTGTATTTCTTTTCCCAGCAAGTAGAAACACAGTTTAACTCACCATCATAATAAAACTTGACATTTTCAGGCAGAGGTTCATATGGTGGAGCAAATACAGGACCTTTATGCTCTAGGAACTTCCATTTAATGCCTTCAGGGTAGCGTTCTTCTTCCCACCTTCAAGAAAGAAATATGAACCAATACAATTTTAAGCTCCTAATCTTCATTTATTACTATGTGTGTATAAGAGTATGCTAAATAACATCAGCAAGCAATCCTTGTTTTGCCAGGGACTGACCAAGTACAAATAATTCAATGCACTGTCACCATTTATTCCCCCCTCACCTTTTTTTTTAAAAAAAAAAAAAAAAAAAAAAAAAAAGCTCAACCATGTCCATGAACCAAACAACTTGGGTCACAGGTTATCCGATGACACCATAGCCCTCACCTCCCACTTGCTGCTCTTTTCACAAAATGGCACAGCTGAAAAAGCTTAGAACTTAAGAAAATTAAGAATTTGGTCTTGTAAAGCAGCTAGGATTATGCCAAATTAGAGTCAGCTGTGATCTAACATCAGGTCCAGGATGCCTGCTCAGCAAAGCCAAACAATTGTAGTATATTATGCAGCTGCTTTCAGATGTGGACAAGTATGCCATTAAGGACAGAGATAAAGAAACAGATGTTCATTTATGACCTAAATTAGAACAAACCTGCTCGGATGAGAAAAACTGAAACCTGCTCTGTCATTTTAAATTCATTCCAATTCTTTGGGTCAGAAAAGCATACTTGAAGAAAAAGCAGAGTAGCACAGGAAAACTGCAAACTTGCCTTAAAGCCCTCCATAAAAATGTTTTGCAAATGATGCATCAGGTACCAGAACACAGCAAGGTAGGTGCCACCAATCTCACATTCTAACTGAACAAACTCACAGGGTCAGCAATTCATCTACTGCCAGGCCAGTATTCTCCCCCCTGCTCCCAAGCCACTGATTCCACACTCCTCCCCTCTGCACTTCTTTCATGATTTCCAGAACATTACGGCTACACTCTGCTGGCATAGGGTTCCCTGCTGAGAAGGTCTATTTTACCTCAGTGACTAATCAACTGGAAGACCTTTAACCTGTCACAGCACTCGGTCTTTGAGTTGCCCAGACAACTTTGTTGAGCAGCCATGACAATAAAAAAAAAAAAAGTTTAAGTTTCCCTCTAGTGTCAGCCCCACAGAGTAGTGCCGTTCTGGGTGCCACAGCAGCATGCTGCTCAGGAACTGTGACACACAAATACAGATCACTTCATCCCTAACGAGGTAACAGGGTCACTGTACAGAAGATAAGCACTGTATAGAGAAAAGAGCTTCTGCCAGAAGACCCTCAAAATGCTTCACAGGTACCTGTACATCAGTAATTTAGGAACAACAACAATTGCACGGGACACAGAGCTTTGCTGTAGTTAGAAAGGCAACATCTTTGATCACAGCACTGGACCTGACTTTCTCATGAGAAGCACAGTAACATCTTTAACAGAAAAGCACACAATCCCAGCTATCAGTACAAAACCTGCACGTCAGATTTCAGTCCCTGGCTGGGAAGAAGGCTTGAGTAAACTAAGTTGATATAAGAAACTGATATTGACATTTGAAGTCTAGATACCAAATATTTACATTCCTAATGATTGCTTTTTAAATTAATTAAAAGCTAGAAATCTAAATATTTTGTCAAACAGAGGCCTAGGTTCTTCCACCCAGAAGCTCCTTCCAACAAAATAAATCTGAACGATTTGCGCCTCCTCCCAGCCAGAAAAAGGCCATCCTCTCTGACAACGAGTATTTTTATTCTGGTAAGGAGAAAAAAAAAAGAAAAAAAGAGGGGATCATTCACAGCAGCTGCTACTTTACAGGCTAGGTTTGTCATTCTTGCTTTTCAGCTGTGGTTTTTAACCACTCTGGTATTTGATGAGAAATTCTGTTCCTCTACCCGTTCCTGTTCTTTTATAAGGGACGCATGCAAAAGAAGTACTAGAAAGTTAGTAGTTTAAATAGATAGTGGAGACACATTGTGCCTTTTGGGAGGGCTGTAAGGAAACACAGAATGAATGGGGTGGTTTTGAAGCCAGAAAGTTTGCCACTAAAGATCACAAACCATTCCAAATCCCACCTCCACCTTCCAAAGCCTCATACATAAGTGTTAAGATGAAAGGTAAAAGTGAGCCTCCTGAGGTTAGCCAATTTTTCACCCTCATTTGGTTTTAAACAAAAAAAGCACTACAGCAACACTGCCCAAGGTGACTCCTTGAAAGGAGCTCCTTTGCTCCTAAAGCAACGTTCTAAAAATGAGTTTGTGGGAGCAAGGAGAATGCTGCCTATTAGGAAAGCTGCCTTACTGATTTCAGCAGAAACTGTGCTAATCAGTCATACAGGTTCCTTGATTAAATCCCATAGCAAACCTGTCTAAGAATGCCAGGGTAGCTCAGGAAGGTAGAGTTGAGGAAAGTTTTTTCAACTGGAATGAAAATAGAAAAGATTCTTAGGAAAAAAGCCAGAATATCTCTCAGGGACACGTTATTTCAAGGAAATGAACTCGCTATAACACAGGGTGGGAGAAGTGCTCATAAGGTGTACTTCTGGATCACACATTCCTCACACGCTGACAGGGTGTGAAAATGACCTCTAAAAGAGCTCCACATGGTGATGAACGAGGCCAATGCCTTGGGAATGTCTAGCATCAAGTATTCACATAAGTGAGGATGAAAATGCTCAAGGCAGCAAGCACTTGAGGAAGCAGCCAGAAAAAGATATCAAGACATTCGAAAACTGACTCGGAATATAAAATGCCCTTAAGAGGCACAACTGAAGCGTAGATGAAACCCTGTCCAGCAAAGACACACTATACAAAGCTGCAGATGGACAGCAGGAACATCAGCAGAAAGATGCAGTTACCTACTGCCAAGTTTTGCAAAACATGCTTTCAAAAGCAGTTTTCCCCAGCCGTAAGCGCAAATCCCAGAACTTGACACAGCTACCTGGGACTGTGCTGCCAAGGCAGGTGAGGGGAGAACAGCACTGCTTTCCAGTAAAGGTTTGCTGTTGAAGGATACAGGCTATAATAAAAGGGAGCTGTGATAACAGAGTATTAAGTTAGACAGAACCAGCAAGGGCAGCTGAGACAAAGCCAAAAAGACAACATGTAGTTAAGGCTTAAAGAGACCTTCTCTATCTTCCTATTGCTTCATGTCCCCACAGTTTGTTAATGTTAAAGCACGTTAAAAATACGCTGTCAAAGGGATCGAGAAAAAAGTGGATTGCTCAGAGGAAAAAAAGAAAAAATCAGGATAGTTTTGAGTACACAAGTATGAAAACCTATGCAAGTGCTGATGTTCTGAGGAAGCTGTGACAAGCAAAGAGAAATATGCAAAGACTATGAACACTACAGAAGAATTTTTCTTTTCAAAGGTGAATCAGTAAGGGGGTGAAAGAACTGAACCTGAAAGGATTGAAGAGGTTTGCAAAGGAATTCCCCAACACCACAGATCTATTAAAACCAGCCAAATTATCTGAGAAAAGGAAACGCTCATGGAAATATCATCCCCAAAAGGTCATAAAAATACATTACAGGAGTGCAGAAAACACACATGCTTTTGAAAACTACATATGCATTAAATTGAGGGAAGTACTAAGGCCCAAACTTCAAAACACACAATAGCTCCTCAAATCAAGCAATAACAATAGCTCAAATTACTGTGGATAGTTAAAAATCCAGCAGGTTTCTTACACATAGTACTACTGATGCAGCACAGGCCTGTCTTCCAAATGAACCACAAAGTTCAGACTTACTTAAAAAAGGTTCTAAAAAAAAAATTTAAGAGTGAGTGAAAGCACAACTGCAGCTGCTCAGTGATGTTACTTTAGGACACTGGGCAAGACAGAAAGTGCTCTCCAGTCAAAACTTATTTTCAAAATTCATTTTCCAAACAGCTCAAGCTTAGCTGGTCACTTGACCAACTTTCATTTTTGTGCCAGAGGCAGGAGCAGGTTTGAGAGACACATAGTTGACATCTGTCTAGAATAAAAAGATGGACACTCACCCATGCTGTACCCTCTATATAACACAAATA